CGGTTTTCATTTGAGCTCCAATCTCTAGTCCTCTGATTCTCAATTCCGCTGAGGACGAAATTTGGACCGCGGCCGCGTCAAGTAATTCCGCTGCCGCGCTATTTCACCGTAGTCAGCGGTCCCTGTCTGCCTTCAAAACACCTCTCTGAACCTCATTTTCGCTGGAAGCGTAATTGTGGCCGCCCCAAGCGGTTGTCCTTCCGCGGCCGCACTCTTTTATCACCGTCAGCGCCTTTTCTCTCAGCTTTGAACTTGTGCAGATTTCACTCTTTTATGAGTTGGTTATGATTTGATCCCAAATGATAAATAAGTTAAACAAAAAATAAGACTTAGTATTGAAATCAAGAGAAATAGCAAGCAACCTGGCTTCCGAAGGCAGTGATAAGAACAATATTAGACAGAAAATAAAGTTATGTTATTTAGCTTGAGAATAATGTATAGCATAAGTTTTGCCAGAGATATTTTTTGTTACAATGGTTGTTGAAGTCACTATTTACAACTTTACCTAGGGAACAAGATCCTAGGATCAAGCCTCTCTTAAATGACAATAAAGGAAGTCATTGATGAATATGTAACGACATGCCATGAATGCCAAAAATTTTCGCAACGACTGCATATTTAATACTGAGGAATATTCTTCATTAAATTCCATCTAGTAACAAATATTCGTTTGCTTCCGTTGACTGCGTTCCCTTGGGGATCTACCCGGTACCAACTGAAGCTATTGTCCTCGGTCTTGATTTTCATTCGATTTATCTTCCGTTTACCTCTGGTTTCACGTGTCACGCAATCATCCTAGCATTTAATATAAACTTATTTTACCCTATACATAATAAATTAATAGTATCATTTAAACACCAAGTTTTAACTTTCGTTGAGTCTTATTGTTTTTCTTTTGAGACCCCACTTGATGGACGAAGGTAACATTGTGGAAGACAATATTGCTGGTTCTGGATTGCAATGTTGAACTTCATCAATTATGTGGGATTCCATTTGACATTGTTGAACTTCGTAGTGTATTTATCTTCTTTATTAAGAGGGTAAGAAATTGAACTTAAGTGAGAGCTATAAATATTGATTTGACATGATCGTAGCATGCACCAATATAAGTACTTTGCGAGTAATTTTGAAATCTTATAACCTGCCTGCATTACGCCCTCTTAGGGTGCAATCTTTCTCTGGACCTTACGTTAATACGGAATACTTAGTATACCGAGCTGTCCTTTTTTTATTCCTATAGAAGATTAAATGGTTGAAGATATTTGGCTGGACAATATGATTCTAGCATAAATGTGAGATATAATGGTATGTAGTTAAAAGATATTAGTATTTAGAAGAATTAACTATCTTCATTACTTCTTTGAATTTGAAAAAGTTCGTGGAATTGTAATCAACTTTGTTTTCGTATTGAAAACAGACTTTGTCTTCCATTAATCAGGCCAAAATGTTTTCGAAGCAAAAAATCAGAAATGTTGTTTTCACAAATTAAAGTTAAAACTAAAAGTAGTGCTTTCTTTAAAGGCAATCCAAATACACTAGTAATATTTATCCAAAGTAGAACTTATCGGAATTACTGTAAACTGCTCAGATCAAAAATGAATAGGAAACACTGGAGGTTTCTTTGGTAGTTAATCCCAAAGTCGGTGACATAAACAATAGGGCAAATGAATTGCTTCAGTCGAATTTGACAGCGGACAACCTAGAAAGTCCAACTTTATATAGTAACTCCTAATGTAATCTTTGATTTGGTACGGATGATCTTCCTTAATCTTGGACGTGTAACATTTTGAAAGGTAAATTCCAAATTGATGGGAATTTATGTTAATTAATTAAAGAGGCAGAGATTAACTACACCTCCATCCTCATTGGTGCAAGTGAAACTCTTTATATTTAGTATTAGTATTTCTTAATATTCTTAGATTTGGTAAGAATAGTTTGCTTGTCATGCGCTTGTGATATTATTTTGAAATGAAAGAACTTTCTCTTCTCCACATTTAATTTCATGAATAAGTCAAGTTTCCAACAGTGTTTCTAGTTTCTAGTGTACTCAAGAAACTTTTCAAGGCAACTGTGTTTTTCTTGGGTCAATTCAATATATAGTATTTGGTTTGGTCCTACAATATTACTCTCGACTTGAATTATATATTTTAGGATTTGCTTTCGGTCATTTTATGTGTTGGCTAGCTAGCAAAGACGTATTTTATTTGAAGTGGATTCTCTCTTTCTGTATGTAGATATCAAATATGTTGTTAGCCAATGGGCGGACACAACAACTATATGAACCCTTTTCAGCGGTGGATTTAAAATTTAAATTTTATGAGTTTAACTTTTAAGGTTTTTAGCATTGAACACATTGTATTTTTAAAGTTGTGAGTTTATATTGCTATTTATTGTACTATCAGTACATTTTTACACGCAAATTATGCTCAAAAGTATTAAGTTCAGTTGAACCCGATATCGATACATTACATCCGCATGCACCATTTCCTTTCTGTTATTGCCAATGCTTTCCAGAGTTCAGAAAAAAAAAATTATTATAAAGGACAGGCAAAACCCGAAGGTAGTTATATGCTCGCTTATGTAGCCAAATTATTATTGATCAGTAGTTAATTTAATTACTACCGTGAAGTTCCAAAGGGAGAAATGCCTAATATCGATTAATTTCTTGGCCAAAACTAGGGCGAGATACGTCCTTAAGCAATTGTGTCCTTAATTAAGCATGCCATAAGTTTATCTTGTACATTAATTGCTACGATCAATGTTTGATAGTATGGATCACATAAAAAATGTCTAAGATGTTGATCATAGAAGTTTATGAAATATAACCGTCCTACTCACTTTGCACTAATTCCACCAGTCTCTTATTCATTTTGATTAAACGATCCAAGAAAAGGGGTTTAAAGGGAGCAAATCCAAATTTACAATGTAAATGTGCTAGTTTATTCTTATACATTGAGGAATGTGGCATCGAGTAGTTTATTCTTATACATTGAGGAATGTGGCATCGAGTATTTAAGAAGCACCTGCATAATATATTTTTATTTTTATTTTTGGTTGTGGGGGGGGGGGGGGGGGGGGGAGGGGGGTTAATTAAAGATCTTTTATTGAAAGATGAAATTAAGTAGAGTTATTATAACGAGGAAGTGATCTTAACGATCTACTCCCTAAATAACCTCTGCGAAATATTAAAGAAATAAATAAAGATGGTTCATTTCAAAATAAGTCTTCACACTCAAGATAATTATGCGAGGCCTAGATACTCCCATAGCTTGCTAGGGGGTGCGCTGCTTTGTTGTCTTCACGGTAAATGTGTCTAACCGGTGGGTGGTCCATGGTAGCGACGAGGAACCTGAAATCATGTAAAAGATGAACATAAGCTTTTGATTCCACAGTGTGGTATAATAGAGAAATCAATATTGAAAGTACATTGGATTCAACGGAGGTAACTATTCACAGAATCTATTAATAAAACACACACACAAAAAATGAAATCTACATATTTGAATTAATGACAAAGAAAAGAATGACTATTATGGCGGAGTAGTTATGTCAAATCTCTTAAATATTTTTTTTCTAAATTAAATAATATGATTGAAATAATGGTCATCAGTCACTGCTGATAAGCTAGTAATACATATTTGATGAGATAGTCAAACACTTTTAGTCTCCTATAAAATTAAGCATAATGCAAAGAGTCAACAAGAATAAACTTGCAAACTAATACCATAATCAAAACAAAATTTAGTTATTATTGCAATGCTAGTTAATATCTTTATGGATCATATACCAAGAATCAAATATGTTTTATATAAAAAAATTAAAAAATGATTTTTCGATTTTTATTTTTTAAATTCAAAACCAAACTAATTAAGGAACGAAAACTTTTAAATATTTCGTCTGAAGCCAAACCAATAATTGAAAATGTAAACCAAATAACAAAAGAAATTGGTCCACTTTGGTTTTTCGATTTAATCCGCTAATACACTAATCAAAAGTATGTGTCATTGTATATATATTCTTGTAATTAGATTATTAACGGTAATAAGTTTGCTAAGCTCAGTCTAGAGTAAGTATATTAATATGTTTGTAACCACTTACATTTTATATCATTTAGATAAGGACTAAGTGCAATCCACAATTAAGTGTATTAATATGTTTGTAATCACTTACAGTTTATTTCATTTAGATAAGGACTACGTGTAATCTAAAGCATGTGTAATATGCTTGAACCACCTACTTTTTAAGTAATGGAAATATATAATAATGTATTCGTTATAGATTATTGATAGTTAAATGCAACATGCCTACAATTTCAAATGGGCTTTTCTCACTCTAGCGCCGAAAAAGTATATAAAATGTGTACAATTTTTATATATACATACATAATATATATATATATATATATATATATATATTTCGGCTATTATTTTAAAAACGACATACAACATCATTTTCCCAATTTGAAATCCGACTTTGATGGAGTTAATTACTGTGTGTAGATATTTCGATATAATAAACAAAAATGTAAAAGTAACAACGATACGAAAATGACCAAAGCAATTTTATTACAATGAAAAGTTGGCTAAAATATTATTAATTATTTTACCTTTACTCGTGAGGATAAAATAAGGGAAAATCAAATAAACTTATCTAATTAAGTTAACTCATAATTAATGTTTCAACATATGTGAAATCAGATAATTAAGACAAGGTTATATGTAATCTTCTATTTACCGTCTCTTTCTACCCCTTTTCATTCCTATATAAAGAAGCATCATCTCCACTCTGCTGCATCAAAAAAAAAGGATCACTACCCCATTCGTTATATGTTAGCATTCTGCTATATAAGCTCTGTAGCAAAAAGGAAGATGACTAATTTTGACTTATTTTTCTATATCTTTATATTTTTTCTTACTATCTTCTTATATTTTTGCTTTGTCACAACAAGAAATAAGAAACCATCATCCCTAAGGAAAGCTTATAAGCTTCCGCCTGGATCAATGGGGTGGCCTTATATTGGTGAAACTCTTCAACTTTATTCTCAAGACCCTAATATTTTCTTCATTAACAGGCAAAGAAGGTACCATTTTCACTCATTGTCCTTATTTTTAATTTAAGCGATTGAATGGACGGCTATTTAGGTTAATTCTTCTTTTACATTAATGGTTTTACAATGTTTTTCCAGGTATGGTGAAATTTTTAAGACTAAAATACTAGGTTGTCCTTGTGTCATGTTGGCAAGTCCAGAAGCTGCTAGATTTGTACTAGTGAACCAAGCTAATTTATTCAAGCCAACTTATCCCAAAAGCAAAGAGACTTTAATTGGTCAATCTGCGCTATTTTTTCATCAAGGAAACTACCATATACATATCAGAAAACTTGTTCAGACATCTTTAAATCCAGAAGCCATTCGTAACCAAATCCCTCATATCGAAGAATTAGCAATTTCTGCATTGAATTCTTGGGCAGGTGGACATGTTGTTAACACTTATCATGAGATGAAAAAGGTTGGTTTTACTAGCGCCTAGTGGATTTTACTTATATACACTGTCACTATAAACGAACTTTTACTGATATTTATCTTTTTTTGTGTGTCAGTATTCGTTCGAAGTAGGCATACTTGCTATATTTGGACATTTGAATGCTCATCTTAAAGATCAATTGAAAAGGAATTATAGCATAGTTGATAAGGGTTACAATTGTTTCCCTACAAATTTACCAGGAAGTCCTTATAGAAAGGCTATTCAAGTAAGTGTCATTTAGTCATTTCCCAATTTTGTAGGTTTTAACAGTGGGCTGAAACTGATGATCATGTTTTATGTGTGAAGGCAAGAAAGAGACTTGGGAAAATTCTAAGTGAAATCATAAGTGAAAGAAAGGAGAAGAAGCTAATAGAGAAAGGCTTATTGAGTTGTTTCTTGAATGCCAAAGATGAGAAAGGATTGGTATTAAATGAAGATCAAATTGCTGATAATATTATAGGAGTTCTTTTTGCAGCACAAGACACTACAGCAAGTGTTTTGACTTGGATTTTAAAGTATCTTCATGATAATCCTAAGCTTCTTCAGAGTGTCAAGGTAAATGATCTAGAAGATTCCGTTCATATTTTTTTTAGTGCTAGTAAAATGGCAGTCCCGTGCATAAAGCATCTCGTATTCACGCAGGGTTCGAAGAAGGGTCGCACTTCTAATAAGGGGTCATTTGGTTGGAAAATAAGTTATCCCATGATTAATTATCCTGGAATTAGTTATCTCATCCTCTCATAGGGATAAAAAAATACTACAATCCTGAGATAACTAACTTCCGGGATTAATTATATCATGATTTTAGTGATTTTTGTAAAAGGCCAGCTGCTTGTCTTAACCATAAAAAACTGTTGATTAGAAGACATTGTGATGTATGGTATTTAATGTTTGGCAATAATGTCTGTAATTATTGCAGGCTGAACAGAAAGCAGTCTGCCAGTCAAATGAACAAGAAAATCATGGGTTGACATGGACACAAACAAGAAAGATGCCCATGACTAACAAGGTAATAACAGTTTTACTTGAGAGACTATTGAAAATTGAAGGACCTAAAATAGTTTAATATTAACCTCTTCACAATGTGTTTTGTATAGGTTGTTTTGGAGACATTGAGACTAGCTAGCATTATATCTTTCACATTTAGAGAAGCTGTGGCTGATGTAGAATACAAAGGTAAGCCAGTGGAAAAAAAATTAATTCATTATATCTTTTTTTATTTGTCAGTTGAGGTTTTGGCATACTCATTTTAAAAAATAATAATATTTAGTAACATTAATTATAACGAGTTTAGTTGACTAACTTACACTTATCTAGTGTAGTATGGGTGGAAATGGACAAAAAAATAATTAATGTCTTTTTGGTTTTCAAAGTAACAAATATTACTGACCAATATTTTTTAACTAAAGTGACAGATAAAATAGACCGAAGGAAGTAATAATGATGTGGTCTAACCCCAAATAGCTCACCTTTGTATCATTTTGATTGATTTAAAAGGAACCAGGCAGAACTACTCTGAATCATAACTTTTGTTTAGATTTTATAATTGTAATAGAATATTTATTATTTAAATCGAGTTAAATTGGACAACAAATTTAAAATCCATAAACTTTAAATTTGAAAAACTAAATGAATTTGTAAATATGGGTGTAGGGTACCTAATTCCAAAAGGATGGAAGGTAATGCCTTTATTCAGGAATATTCATCACAACCCAGAGTTCTTTCCTGATCCACAAAAATTTGATCCTTCAAGATTTGAGGTACCACTCGACCTTTTATATTACGTGTACTACTTCTTAATAATTTTCTTTACCTACCCCATCACTTTACTAGTTTA